TGTTATGTGCCATCAGGTCAAGTATGACTCATAGCAACCCTATAAACAGATCTGAAGCCTGTGCAATCATGCACCATGCTCATGACCTCTCACATATTTGAGCTGTTGCCGCAGTCACTGATACAGTCCATATCATTGAGGGTCTTTTTTTCTTTTGCTGACCTTCTACCTTTCCTACCATGGATATGCTTTCCCAAGGAATACCCTTTTCTAGCAACATGCCAAAGTATTTAAGACGAAGCTTCATAATTCTTACCTCTAACGAACATTGTGGCTGCACCTTCTCAAAGACATATGTTTGTTCTTTTGGAAGTCCATGCGATGTTCACTATTCTTCTCCAACACCACAATTCAAAGCATTGATTCTTCTGCTATCCTTGTTCATTGTCTGCTTTCACATTGATTAGAAGTAACTGAAAATATTATGGCTTGGATCTGGTACACCTTAGTTTTTAAATGAACATAATTTATCTTTAGCACTTTGAAAGCTCCTTGACAACATGTTTTACCAATGCAACACATCCCATGGATATTAATTGTGAATCCAAGTAAAATGAAATAATTGACAACTTCAATCTTTTCTCCATTTATCACAATGCTTTGATCTTCTGCAGCAAGTGTTTCAAGTACTCTTCACCTGCAGTGAGCAAGGCTGTGTCTCTACAACAATGCAGGTTGTTGATAAGTTTTCCTCCAGTTCTAGTGCTACATTCTTCTCCATATAGTCCAGTTTCTGGAATGCTTTGGTCAGTGTACAGATTGAATGAGTATGGAAGAAGATTGCACACACCTTTCCTGGTTTTAAATCATACATATTGTCCTTTTCTGTTTGTATTCTTATCAGACTACTCCCTAAATATAGTCTCCAGGAAAATGTCTCCAGCATGCTCCTTAAATTTAGACTCTTTCCCTTGTTAAGAGTAGTAAAACAGGAATACAGGCTTTCCTATGTTCGCAAAGAAAGACATTTATTAGAAAAAATACTTTGCAAAGGGATATTTGGAGGGCAAGGTGCCACTAGCCTACAGCAAAGGAGGAAAAGATCCTTTGAAAGATTTCAGAGGAAGGTGGGGAAAGGATCTATTATCTTATTCATAAAGAGGGTGGGTTTTAAAAATCAACCTATCAAAAGGAAAAGATCATCATATTTATTCATGAAAAAAAGAGAGGGTCATCTGGGATTAGAAAAATGAAGCACATGCATGGTTGTTCCTTCAAGATGGTAATCGCTGGAAGTACTTTCTGAGTCTCGTGAGGAGCATGCACGATGTTGACAACAGCTATGAGAACATATGATTTAGCAAGCTTCAGAAACATGTGCTTGAGCTAGCTTTAAAGATGACTGTCATCAGGTGAAGCTCTTGGCCATCAAGGAGTAAAGGCTTTCAAGATGGCTGTGTCTCTAGAAAATCATACAGGAGTGATTTGCATGGCACCTGAAATCTTGGTGTAGTAAAAGATTGATAAGAGGGAACACTTGAAGGTGCTGGTTGTTTTTATGTGCCATCCAGTTGACAGTGACTCGTAGCAACCCTATGAACATTAGGTATGGCAAATGCTCTGGTTCGGCCTCCCTCATACAAAGAATTGAACTGAGTGGGAGACAATGGAAGATCAGCTATGGACAAATCTCCCAGTTTTGGTCTTGTTATGTCCTGATGGAAAATAAATCTGCCATGGGTCAAACTTTCGTTAGAGCACACAGTTAAGAGGAAAGGCAAGGAGACAGGATGAAGGTGAAAAGAAGATAGTCTTATTGTTGTTATGTGCCGTCGAGTCATTTGCGACTCATAGCGACCCTATGTACAACAGCCCTAAACCCTGCTCTATCCTGTGCCAATCGCACTGCCTCTGACACACCCATCCCGATTACCCCAGTCACTGCATCAATCCATCTAATAGAGTCTTCCCCTCTTGCGCCGTCCCTCCACCCTACCAAGAATGATGTCCCTCTCCAAGGACCTGTCCCTCCTTGCAACATGCCCAAAGTATGTCAGACGAAGCCCCAGAATCCTTGCCTCCAATGAGTAGCTTGGTTTAACCCTCTCCAGGATGAATCTGTTTGTTTTCTTGGCAGTCCATGGTACATTCAATACTCTTCTCCAGCACCACAGCTCAAAGGCATCAATTCTCCTTCTGTCCTCCCTAGGACAATGACTAATTGTCCAGCTCTCTGATGCATAACAAGTGATTGCAAAGACCATGGCCTGTATCAGGTGCACCTTAGTCTCCAGAGAGACACCATTGCTCTTGAGTACTTTAGAGAGGTCCCTAACCACAGACTTTCCCATCGCAATACGTTTTTTTATTTCCTGGCTGCCGGTGCCAAGAGTGTTGACCATGGAGCCAAGCAAACTGAAGCTGTGAACAGTCTCAATCTCTTCGCCATCCAGCCTGATGCTACCGATTGGTCCAGTGGTGAGAATCTTTGTCTTCTTGACATTGAGTCTCAGTCCATACTGAAGGCTGCAGTCCTTGACCCTTTGCAGTAAGTTCATGAGGTCCTCCTCGGTTTCAGCAAGCAGTCTTATTAGAGAAGCTATATCTCATAGAGTACAACAACAAATGTTGAATATAACTCATAGCAACCCTATGAATAGCTCTGAACCCTTCCCTATCTTGAACCAATCTCACTGACTAATACACCTAACGCCATTGCCACAGTCACTGTGTCAATCCATCTCATCCAAGGGCTTCCTCTCCTGCACTGACTCTCCACCCTTCCAAACATGATGTCCTTCTCCAAGGACTGGTCCCTCCTGGCAACATGCCCAAAGCATACGTGATGGAGCCTCAAAATCCTTGCCTCAAAGAAGAAACCTGGCTTCACCCTTTCTAGGACAGACTTGTTTGTTCTTTTGGCAGTCCATGGTATGTTAAACACTGTTCTCTAGCACCACAACTCGAAGACATCTATTCTTCTTTTGCCATCCTTAGTCATGTTCAGTTCTCTGATGCATAGCAAGCAATTGAGAAGACCTTTGCCTGGATCAGGTGCACCTTAATCTCTAGACTGACATCATTGCTCTTTAACACTCTTGTGAGATCCTTGAAAACACATCCCAGATGATAAGTCTTTTGATTTCCTGACTGCTGATGCCAAGAGTGTTGATTGTGAATACGAGCAAGATAGAGTGGTGGATAAAAACACATCGTCAGGCATGGCTTGGCTTAATAAAACTGGCTGTCTTCAAGTCAGTGTGCTTCCAGGTCAATGGTATGATGTGGTGCATGATTCTAGTCCATTTTTCTTGATCTTACTTAATGCACCTAAAACTAGGCACCTTGGTACAATGTTCCTGGTTCTGATTAGGTAGGTAGGGCCCAGTCCTAGTCACTTCACTTGACCCTTGCCCTCACCGGCTCCCAGGGAGGACTTCAATTGGTTTTTATCCTGCTGGCATCTACCCTTACACTCCTTCTGCCCTGTCTCTTATTTCTGTCTGATGTTAACCTGATTCTGACCCTAACATGAACAACGGGTCTGAACCTGGCCCTATTCAGTGCCATCCTCACTATCTCCTTGACTAGGGGTGTAGTTTTCTGTACAGGTGTACATTGTTGTTGTTAGGTGCCACTCATAACCCAATGTACGAAAGATCTGAACTTTGCCTTATCTTGTGAAATCCTAATTTTTTTATATCCTTGAGGCAGTATAATTTATTCCACAAAACACCATTGCTGGAGTGTATCGAATATAGCAACCAAAGTTAAAGACTCTAGTGTCTGTTCTGCCCAGGTTTGAGAAAAAGAGAAGGGATGTTAGCAGACTGGGTAAATTTCACTCCTCTAGGTTTCAATTTTTATTCTGTAAGTGTTGGACTTCCAGATCTTGTCTTTGTTTTTTCAACTTGTGTGAATTTTCTTCTTCCTCCTCACCCACCATCTTGCTATGTAAAGACATTAATCTTATGTCCTAGGTTTGCAGTCCATGAAGCAATGAAATTGTTTCTACTAGACTCAGAATCTTTGGGGTTTGAGTTACCAAAAACTGAAGGAAGGTTAGGTCACTCAGGGAGTCCTCGGTCCAAAGGGCTAAGAAAAGAAACAATTAGCTAACAAAGAAATACAATTATTTTACTGTTCTTTTAGGTGCCCTTGAGTCGACCACAACTCATATAGCGACCTTAAGAACAGACTGAAACTTGGCTCTATCCTGTGCCAACCCCGTGATCTCTATTATGCTCATGCCCATTGTTGCAGTTACAGCGTCAATTAATTATATTAATAATACAAATTAAAAAGGTGTTATAAAGGAAATGAACAAGGTGATTTTCTTTTTTCCAGTAATAAAATTAAGGATAGGCTCTTTAAAAAAATGATGACAGTCCAAGGGAGAGAAAAAGAAAGGTTTTAATATCCCACAATCAACTAAGGAATAAATAGCCATTACCCTTGAAAATTGTGTTGTGCTGATCTCCACATCTCCTAGGAACAGGAGAGAATTTCTCCTAAAAAAGCAACTACAAAAGTCTCTTTTCCTCCCCTCTGACAAATCAAGTGTGGAGAGAAACGAAAATGAGACAACTTGGCATCAGACAAGGAAATTGTCCGTCTAATCTGGCCGCCAAGATTTCTCTCAATTTCTCTAGGGGTCCCTCTGCAGCGGGCACCTGGTTGTAAAGACGACAAATGCCACGCACTTCAAGGCGGATTTCCTTGAATTATAACTGCTCGGGTGGCAGTAGGTCAAGGTGTGGTTCAGCAAGAGACAGTTCACAGTAATGGCAGCGGGCAGGGCAGGGCACGGCAGACGGCGAGAAACAGAGACTGTAAGAAGTAGGAGAATGCAGTGGAAGCCCAAGGTGAGAGCATGGAAAAAGTGCCCGCCGCGGGCGCAGCGCGCCGCTCAGGTGGCCCCTTCCCGCTCAGGTGAGCTCCTCCCGCGCCTCCCATTGGTCAAGGCGCTCGCGGTCCTGGGAGGGCGACGCAGCCCGGTCTAGTTCAGGGTCTAGGGCGGCGCGTCACTTCCGGTAGCGCGGAGCTTGTAAAACACCCTGGAGAGAAAATGGCGGCGGCTACGGCGGCTTCGGCGCCTCAGCAGTTATCGGATGAGGAGCTTTTCTCCCAGCTTCGTCGTTACGGCCTGTCTCCTGGCCCCGTGACGGAGAGCACCCGCCCAGTCTACCTCAAAAAGCTCAAGAAGCTTCGAGAGGAAGAGCAGCAGCAGCAGCAGCACCGGTCGGGGGGCCGCGGCAACAAGACACGGAACAGTAATAACAATAACACCGCAGCCACCACGGTCGCAGCCGCGGCACCGGCGGCGTCGGCCGTGGGGATGGGGGTCCGGCCGGTGTCGGGGGAGCTCTCCTGCCTCCGGACTCCTGGCGGCCTGGGCCGAGGACCGGCCTCGGGCCCGGAGAGCCCGTTGGGAGGGCCCGGGGGTGCCTCGGCCGCCCCCACGCCTGGCAGCAAAGTGCTGCTGGGCTTCAGCTCGGACGAGTCGGACGTGGAGGCCAGTCCCCGGGGCCAGGCCGGCGGCGGGAGGAAAGAGCGGGCTTCGCTCCAGTACCGCGGGCTCAGACCGCCGCCCGCGCCGCTGGCCGCCGGCGAGGTGACTAACAGCCCCCCGGCGGAGCGGAGGAAACCCCACTCCTGGTGGGGGGCCCGCAGGCCCGCGGCCCCCGAGCTGCCAGCCCCGTCGGGGAAAGACGGAGCGGCGGAGGACGAGGACGAGGAGGGAGACGCCGGGGAGGAGCGGGACCCGGAGGCCGACGAGCCGCTGTGGCCGAGCCGGACGGTGAATGGCAGCCGGCTGCTGCCCTACAGCTGCCGGGAGAACTACTCGGACTCGGAGGAAGAGGGGGACGACGACGTGGCCTCCGCCAGACAGGTACTGAAGGACGACTCCCTCTCCCGCCACCGGCCCCGACGCAGCCACGGTAAACCGCTTTCCCCGCTGACCGGTAAAGCCGCCGGCGGCCGGCCGGAGACCTCGGGCCAGGGAGGGGGCGGCTTCGCGATGAATGACAGGGCGGCGGCCGCCGGGAGTCTAGACAGGAGCCGAAACCTCGACGAGGCGGCGGCGGAGCAGCCGCAGGGAGGAGGGTGTGAGCCGCTGGACTGCAGCCCCGCGCCTCGATACCGCGTCAACGCCAAGAAACTGGCCCCTGTCCTGCCCCCGCCGCTTCCCGACCCGGACGCCGCCGTGGATCCATCCAGCGGCGCCCTGCGGAAAGCCGGCAACCATGTGGGCGGCGGCGGGCCCTTCGCGGTGGACTCCCCCAGAGCTCATTCCAACAGCCTCTCGCCCATGGCGGCCGCGGGCGCCCCCAGTTCACTCAGGATCAATCACTCCAATCACACGGTCTCCAATCACACCTACCTGCAGAACACCTACAGCAAACCGAAGCTCTCGGAGCCCGAGGAGGAGCTGCTCCAGCAATTCAAACGCGAGGAGGTGTCCCCGACCGGAGGCTTCAGTGCCCACTACCTGTCCATGTTTCTCTTAACTGCTGCCTGCTTGTTTTTCCTAATACTGGGGCTCACTTACCTGGGAATGAGAGGGACTGGAGTATCCGAGGAGGAAGGACTCAGCAGTAAGTATCAAACTCCTGGCTTAGCTTAACAAAGGGAATGTTGTTGGTGGCGCCGCTTTAGCTGCAGCTAGCATTTTACATGAGGTGGCTTACTTGCAAGAACACGGTTTAACAGACTGAAGAGGTTGTGTGCATTTGTGTCATTTCTTTTTTTTCTATAAGAAATCACAGCACTGCTATTAGCGGAATGATATCCCATAGCTGACTTAAAAATTTCTCCCTGTGGTGTATTGTGAAAAATTCAAAGAACAACACCACCGAAATTACAGACTTCTTACCAAAGTGCATTTGTGTGTGTGACTTAAATTTTCTTTCAGTCTTAAGTAGCTATTTGTGCAGATACCAGTTATCCAACAGTTTTTAAATAGATTGTTTGCTGACTGGCAGCATAAATGCAGGCCCCCCGCCCCCAATTGAGTTGTCCTTCTAAAAGGTAATGTAAGAGCTCTTGGAATATCAGGTCAATGTAGTATTAATTACACATAAGTTTTGTAATTTCCTGGAAGTGAGTGAATACTAAAAGCAACAAGGTACATCTTCAAATTGATTATCCCACCCAAAAGTAACTCCCTTCCCATCTGTGAATAAAAGTAGTCATACTGCAGTAAAGCAGTGCAGGAGTGTGGAGACAGATCCACCTGCATTGGGTTCTAAGCTGTCATTGACTTGCGATATTACTGCAGGCAAATGTGTTCATTCATTTATTCATTCAGCCAGTATCTGAGCACTTCCTGTATCTGTACTTAGGATACAGCTCTAATAAGTATCCCTGCCCTTAAACACACGTACAAAAATCATGATTGTAAATTTTATGTTCGGTGAGAGAAACAAGAGCAAAGTAGTTGGTTTGCACTACTGTTTTTTAGATTGGACAGTCAGAGGACATGCATGCCATTTGAGATGAGACCCGAAGCTGGAGGAAACAGCCTTTTAAAGAGCCAGGAGAGCTGGGCAGAGACCAAAAGGAGGAAAGACTTTTGAGTTGAGCAACAACTTTTCCTGTGAACGAGTGTGGTTAGAGCACATTATGCGAGAGGGAGAGAGCAAGAAGAGTTTGGGCTTCTGTTTGCTACTATGTAAAATGATGCCAAAATTGATTAGACTACTTAGTAGCTGTGATGTTTAAAAGTAAATTTGTGTGTCATGGGCTACTGAAGACATAATATCTCAGTGTTAGATAACTTCCCACTCTCCTGGAAAACTTCACCCAACATGAATCCACTGCATCGTAATTTGTATTTATAAAGTTTGCTTAATAGATTTGCTCTACTTCATAATATAGCTAGCAGATTCAAACCATAGAAGTAAAAATAATAGATTATTGCTTTATTGCTTAATTAGGAGTAGGAAGAGCACTCATTTTAATTGGTTCCCTGAGATCATTAATTGGTTCCCTGAGATCTGCAGATCACTCTGCAGATTATAAAAAATCCAATAGCCTCAAAAGCCTATAAACAAACAAAAATATAATGGTTCTAATGGTTTAGTGGTGAAGGATTACATTGCTCGCACAAAGATACATATTCAAATCCACCAGCAGCTCCATAGGAGAAAGATGGACAATCTATTCCTTTGCTGTTGACTTTCTCCGAAAACCCTCTGGAGTGTCAGCTGTGGGTCCACTCTGACTCGCGAAGGTACACAACAATAATAATGATTGTTTGAAATAACAAATGAGGACTGCATTGCTACATGCATCAAGACATTACCATGGTAAGACGCTGCACAGCAGTCCCAAATGTAGGCAAGTAGAATTCACCAGCTGCTTCTCTTCTGTGTGATTTACTGCCTCTGAAACCCATTGACGGGTCAGCTATCAGTTGGTTCAGATTTACCAGCACACAAGAACAACAGCAGCAGTGTATCTAGAAGTATTTGTTTTTTTATGCGTAGGAAGGTATACTATAAAGGCAAACATTTGAGTTACTGACATTAGATAATAATTGAACCTAAGAAATGATGTAAAGGAATCTGAAAGACAGGTTGAGGAATGGAATTTACCATAATCTGAAAACTGCCTACCTTGCATTCTGTTTTAAATAATTGGGTGGAAACAAGAAATTAGGTAACACTAAAAGGTAAACTAGTAAAGCTCATATACAGTAAATATTATCAGCAGTAGTGTGTACTACATGTTTGTTTAGCTAACAACTTCATGGCAACCCTTTCCTAAGAGTCAAGTACTTTATTTTTATTATATTTTATTTTTTATTATTTTCTGTGTGTGTACACCGTCAAATCTGATCCTACTGGTACAGGAGGAGATGACCCCTCCTTCTCTGGGATTGCAGTGCAGCTTCTTGCCACTAGGCCACCAGAGCTCCCCTAAGAGTCAAGGACTTTACATGTCTCATATAGGCATTTTACAGATGAGAATTCTTAGATCCAAGGAATTTAGAGAAAGTACTGGTAGGATGAAGATTTGGTTCACATTTTTCCCAACAGTAAAACTCATTTCTTAACACTGCTTTGGGTATTTTTTTGTAGACCATTTAAAATAAGAAGATACTTTATTAGGATTAAGAAAACAATGAGATACTTGGTTGGATTGTGTTCAGAAGAAGATGTTCATGTTTTTCTCTTCGTTCAGTGCTTTCTTATGTACGGAAATGATGTGGCAGGAAATGTTAAGATATTTCATACTTTTAAGATATTTCTTACTTTAATAGTAAATTTGATAGAAAGCGAAAAGAACACCAAGAGGTAGCAGATTTAGATTCTAGGACTTATCTATATGACCTTGGTCAAGGTTGTTAGCCTACTTCGTTTTTCTTATAAATAGACATAATATATGCTCTGCAGGTTTACACTCTAGGTGAAGTTATTGTGAAGATTAAGTGAAAGTATTAAGCAGTATACCAAAAAACAAACCCACTGCCATTAGGTCAGTTCCAACACATGGTAATTCTACAGGACAGAGTAGAACTTCTCTATAAGCTTCCCAAAATGGTAAATCTTCAAGACTATCACATCTTTATCTCCTAGCAACTGATAGATTCAAGGGGCTGACCTTTTGATAGCAGTTGAACACTTAATCACTTTGACACCAGGGATTACTCAAACAAATATAAGGTATTATTATCGAAAAGCTTAGATAAAATTTGTATCTTGGTAAATTACAGTGTGTGTCTGTGTGTGTGTGTGTGTGTGTGTGTGTGTGTGTGTGTGTGTAAAACCTTTAAGCATGCCTTGTATATGATGCAGGAAGCGTTGGTGGCTTTAGTGGTAAAGAGTTGGGCTATCAGTCCAAAGGCAGGTGTTTCTCTCATGGGAGACAGATGGACTATCTCTCCTGCAAATTACAGCCTCTGAAAACTTCCTGGAGGGTCAGCTCTGACGGAGTTCCACCTCAAAGACATATAACAGCAACCATCAAAATTAAAATAGTTTGAATCTACATGTTGCTCCTCCATGGGAGAAAGATAAAGCAGTCTGCTTTCTTTACAAAGTTTACAGTCTTGGAAACCCAAAGGAGGTTGCCCTGGGTGGTTAGTTTTGGTGACACTGTATTTAGCATTGTGCTGCTACCCAAAATGTCAGTGGCTTGAATCTGCCAGTTTCCCTATAGGAAAAAGACATTCTACTTCCAGCCTTGGGAACCATAAGGTACAATTCTAACCTTTTTTTAGAAGGTTGCTGTGAGTTGAAATTATCTTGACCGCTGTGGGTTTGGTTTTTAGAGTAAATTATATATCTATTAGAATATTATTTACCTCTTCAACATTTAATTGTCATTGAATTCCATTAAGTATGCATTGTAGAAACTGATACAGAAGTTTTAATCAAAGAATAACTGAATCTGTGAGTTCAGTTAGTCTGTACACCTAACGGTGTTAGCATTTCAAGAGTGGATAATTTTCACTCCCTATATTTATGTATTCTGACTCCTTTGTCATATTATAATACTTAACCATAGGGTTCATCGGTCAAGGAGTGTACTTAAGAAAATCGTTTTACAGCAGTAGATTATGGGTTATATATGACCGTTAGCTTTAATAAATTTTTATTAGTTATCACATTTAAGTTATGGAACATATCATAAACTATCCTTCCAAATAGTTCTTAATCATTTGTTCCTTTAAAATTTTTTGTTATAGACATGTCTGGGTGGATTTTAATTGCTAACTTTTCTTAGTAGTGAAGTGCTTAACTGGCTGCACCACCTAGAGATGTCACTTTTTCTATTAATTTGATTACTTGAGTCTGAGACTCTTCATCGGTAAAAGTAGGAGGCTAAAGTAAACTAATCTGTAAATTTTGTAGATAATCTGTAAAAGGTTGATGATTGAAATTTACTAGGTGCTTCACAGGAGAAAAACCAGATGATATTCCCATAAAGATTACAGCCTAGCAAAGTAGGCAGGGGCAATTCTCTCTCCTGCAGGATCATTATGAATGATAATTGATTTGACCACTCAGGAAAGTAACAACAAAGCTCTTTCCAGTCACAAAGTTTAAAATTCTAACCTTGAAGTGCCTTACCAGGTCAACTCAAGGTTCGGCCAAGCAGTCAGATAACAGACTGGTGACAGAGGTGATTTGATCATTACACTTCCACTAAAATAAAAGTGATACAGAATAGTTTGACTTTTATGTGATTATTACTAAAACTTAGATTTTTTAAAAAAATTATAAAGATGAAATTTTTGTAGAAATTACGCATACAGATTTGTGAAAAAAAGGTGGGTATTGTGTACTTTTCAGTCATACCCATAAGTTAGTTTCAGTACTAGATCTCTAGAACTTAATTTTTTTCTTGTAAATATGTGTATAAGAGGGAGCCTCTGAAAGCTGACTGGGGGGGTCAGCTATGAGTTGGTTCTGACTCTGGTATTCAATAGTGTCAGCATGGTTTTAAGCAGTGATGATGTATGGTGAATAAGGCAGGTGAAATCTTTTGCCTATGGAGTTAACTTTCTAAAGGGGAAGATGAACAATGGACAAGTAAACATATGATTTTCCGGTAGTGATATATGGTAACACAAGGTAATGAGTAAGTT